TCAAAGCCCCCAGGTCCAGGACTCGACCCGCACTCAGCCATGTGGGAATCCTGTGCCTCAACCACCATGCCACCTGCTGGACCCTTTATATTTTAATATTCTTATTTAAGGTGCATGCACTCATGAGAGAGAAAAAGAGGGAGCCCCCCCCCCCCAGTGGGAGATGGTCAGACCACAATCCCTTTTCCTCTATTCTTCTTTTGAGATTTTGTACACACACATACATATATGCCCAGCATGTTTAACAAGCCACTGGGTCTGGGACTCGAACCACATGCCTAGGATCCAGCTGCCTTAACCACATGCCACCAGCTAGCCCCACTATATACTTTTTTATACTTCAACAAATTTTCTTTCAAGAGACATACTAAAATTAGTGCCAGTTGAGTTAAATGAGGCCATCACCCCAAGTTAGCACCTACATCTTACCTTCGCCCCAAACACCCTCTGTTTATGAGAGCTATAGAGGTTACCATGCCTTCACATCCAAAAGAATCATACTCAAAACAAAAGTTGATGACCTGATAAAAATTTTTTTGAAAGAATAAAAATGTCAAACTTCTGGGCCAGCTCCATGGAGTGGTGGGTAAAGCAGCTGAATCCCACATGGTCAACTGTGGGGTTCAAGTCCTAGACCCAGTCAGTGGCTTGAGAAACACACTGGGTATGTGTATGTTCATGTGTGTGTGCCCAAATACGAAAAGAAGGAAGAGGTGGAGGAGAAGGAATTATAGTGTGACCATTCCCCATGTGAGCTGCTTTCTTCTCTTCTCTCTCTCTCTCTCTCTTTTTCTCTCTTTCTCTCTCTCTGGTGAACACATGCACCCTACAGTACAAAAAAAAAAAAAAAAAAGGTTTAACTTCTATCCCTATCCTTTCCTCCCTAATCATAGAAGTAGATTGTCCTAGAGTCCCTGATCTCTTCTCTATAACTCTCTACTACCTGCCTTTGCCCTGTGCTCTCCGCGCCCGTGAATACTCAGTTCCAACCTGGGCTTGGGAAAGGGATAGTGTGTTATGCGCATGAGAGACACTCAGTAAGTAAGGTTTGAGTGAACTGAATTAACTGATTGAATTACTGGCATGGATGAGCCCTTGAGGGCACTCTAACCTCTGAGCCACTATGACATGGCCTAGGAGCCACTTGAGCACTCTCCCTTCACAGGTGGTATTCCAAACACATGACTCGAAGTCAAGCTGAGCAACTGCTAAAGCAAGAGGTAAGTGTGAAACCACAAGCGAATGGCATTTTCCCTGCACAGTAAGCAAGAGTCCTGAACTGAGAGCAAGGAGGTGTCAAGGACACCACTGTTGGGAATCCCAATTACCCTTTTAGGTAGAAAAAACGAGGCTGTAGTTGGAGCAAGGAACTTGGCAGTAAAATGGGGGCTGTTCTATTTTCTCTCAGATTTGGGCAGTGGGATGCAGATGTGAGCACCGCTTCCTCCTACAGTTAGCTTCTTTTTTGTTGTTTCAGGGGAAAGAAGGAGGTTTCATTGTCAGAGACTCCAGTAAAGCTGGAAAATATACCGTGTCTGTGTTTGCTAAATCTACAGGGTGAGTGCTCCCAAGGCCCTGGGACAAAAGGAGAAGGGTGCCCTCCCAATGGCTCTGTAATGGTGTGCTACTCCCACTTCCTATGTCCCTTAAACTCAAAACTCGTCTCGCTTCATTTCCTGGGTCCTACTGACTTTTTCAAGTTACTGACAAAGCATTCACTTCTTCAGGGACCCTCAAGGGGTGATCCGCCACTACGTTGTGTGTTCCACACCTCAGAGCCAGTATTACTTGGCTGAGAAGCACCTTTTCAGCACCATCCCTGAGCTCATTAACTACCATCAGCATAACTCTGCAGGTGAGTGAGTACCAGGGACAACCAAGAAGGAGAGTGTTACAAACACCAGGAGTACAATTCAGAGCAAGGTGGTGATGCGAAGAATATACCTCACAGGGCAGTGTGAGTTATCTGTGAAAGGAAAGCTCTGTGATGCTGAGCACAGGTTCAATAAAAAGGTAGTCAAAGACAGACCTTACAACCCATAGGGACTGATTTCTTACTTGGTAACTGATGCTCAGTGCTAAAGAAAGATACAAAACAGGCTGGTGACAAAGAAATCAGCAAGAATTCATTGAGTTTCTATAATGCACTCAATACTTTCCTTGGTCCTAGAGAACACAGGAAAATTCTGAGTCAAAATCTTTGCCCTCAAGGAACATACAGTTTAGAAAACATCAGAAGACAGTTTCTGAGTAGTGTAGAAATTCTAAATACTAGGAGATTGCAGAAGGCATGAGCATGTGGGAAAAACTTCCTTAAGAAAGTAAGACGTGAGCTAAACTGGGGCTGGGAGGTGAGAATATACTCAGTTGGGGGGAAAGGTGTGTACTTCAATTAGCATATTCTCTCTTTTGTCCCTGTAAACTCTTTTGTGAGGAGAAACTTCCAGAAAAATGTGGGTTTGTAGAGATTTTTCTGGGATTCAAAATGTACTGAAAAGATGCACACCAGAAGCGCAAAGCTTTAAGTGAGAATATGTGAGACATCCTACCCTATATGGTGCACCAACAGCGTGACCTCTCTGTTTCAGGACTCATATCCAGGCTCAAATATCCAGTGTCTCAACAGAACAAGAATGCACCTTCCACTGCAGGCCTGGGCTATGGTAACTGCTTACTTCTTTGTGATCAGGTGCACTGGCCAGTTGCAAGGAGTACTTGCAGACCTTGCCTTAGAGAGTGTCCTTGAGGCACACTGTTCTGCACTAGGTACCTCAAGGAGGGTTAAGACAAAGCCAGGAGAAAGTTATTTAATGATTTTCTCCCTCTACTGGCTCCCACTGGGATTGCAAAAACAGACTCAGATCTGTATTGGGTCCTTTTGTCTTTTAAAGTATGGTTAAAAAAATAATTCAGCACTATCCTTGAGTTCATTGACATTATCATTAACATAATTATAAAAGTTTCGGGGAGGTTATCTAGTCTATCTTTTAACCTTTTGGCCAATCTGCACCTAAATTTCCTAGATTCCTCCAATCAATAACCTATCCCTGAGATTTACCTCAATAAGGATGGACTAATACTCCTGAGAGTTTCCCTTTTACCACTTTTCCTAGTTCTACCTCAGTAGGGATTCTTATCTATTGTAGGAATTATATATACATGATCTTCAAATAATCACACCAAGACTTTTTGTTAGGGTCATGGGAAATTGATCCAAAGGACCTGACCTTCTTGAAGGAGCTGGGGGCTGGACAATTTGGGGTAGTGAAGTATGGAAAATGGAGAGGCCAGTATGATGTGGCCATCAAGATGATCAAAGAAGGCTCCATGTCTGAAGATGAGTTCATTGAAGAAGCCAAAGTCATGATGTGAGTTACAGTCCAAACTCAACTCTTCTTTTAGAGAGATTTTTGCTATAGGGCATGTTCACTAGCCAGAGGGAGAAAGAGAGGGACAGAGACAGAAAGAGAGAAGTCACCCTCCTGGGGGGATGGCCATGCCGCAATTCTTTCTTCTACATTCTCCTCTTGGGATTTTGGGCATGCACACACACACACCCAGCATGAGTTTGAAGCCTCCAGGTCTGTGATCAGCCATGTATGAGTCCAGCAACATAACCATTATGCCATCTAATGGTCCCCCAAACACAACTCTTAAGCCAGTTGTTGGAATCTAGGAAATTTCAGGACAATCACTGTGGCTGTAGGTGACTTGCAGTAAGAGAGATTTGAAACCAAGGCCTAAGGTTTATCTTTAATTGGTGAGAGAGAAATCACCCCCTGGAGCGATGGCCACACCACAATCTCTTCTCCTCCATTCTCTTATTGGGATTTTAGGGATGCATGCACACATGCCTGGCATGACTTTTAAGCCACGAGGTCCAGGACTTGAACCACAGCTGACTACATGGGAGTCCAGTGACATAACCATTATGCCATCTGCTGGTCCTGAAAATTAGTGTTTCAAAAGAAAGATGGATTCTAATTTAGCTTTAGTGTTCTTTCAGCCCCGGGCTTGTTTCCTCCTCAGTTGAACTCCAAATCCTTGCTCACCTTCCCCAAACTCACATATTAAACACTTTGGTGTTAGGATGGAGGAAAGTAAACTTGTTATCGTGGTCCCTTATCAGATGCTCTCATCCTAGGCCAATCCCTTTCTCCCCAACCCCTTTATGAGTCAAAAGGGGCACACTAATTCCTTGCCTTTCTGTAGGAATCTGTCCCATGAGAAGCTGGTGCAGTTGTATGGTGTCTGCACTAAACAGCGTCCCATCTTCATCATCACCGAGTACATGGCCAACGGCTGCCTCCTGAACTACCTGAGGGAAATGCGCCCCCGCTTCCAGACTCAGCAGCTACTAGAGATGTGCAAGGATGTTTGTGAAGCCATGGAATACTTGGAGTCAAAGCAGTTCCTTCACCGAGACCTGGTGGGGCCTCAGAAAGATTGGCCTGGGACCAAGGGCTAAGGGGGTGGAAGTAGCAGTGGAAGATGTATCATATACTGTTGATTAGAGTTGCTGAGGCCATCTTTCCATTTTATCTAGAAACCACTATAAATTAAGTGAGCCTCTGCTCTCACGATGAGTTAGTCAAATATCTCCAGCCTCAGCTCCATGAGGTGTGCCATGGTGGGAGCCAGAGCAGCCCCTAACCTCAATCCCTGCCACCCACAAGGAAATGGTGGGTCCTTCAGTAGCCATTTTGGATTCAGAGAAGAAGGGTGACCTTGTGCTTCCCAATAGGACTGCTCCTGGCATGGAGCCATCACTTGGTTGCATTGGAGTCACAAACTGAGGGACCCATGGTGCACTTGACCCACATGTTTTATTTATTTGTAATTATTTATTTCACTTTGTTATTATAATTTCTTTAGTTTGAGAAGAGGGAGAGAGAGAAAGTGAGAAAGCAAACCACTAGGTCCAGGACTTGAACCACAGTCAGCCATGTGGGAGTCTAGCCACCTGCTGGCCCCTATTTATTTATTTTTAGTTTTTGCTATAGGGCATGTGTGCTCACCAGAGAGAGAGAGAGAGAGAGAAGAGAGAGAGAGAGAACGCACCCCACCCCGGGGGGGGGGATGACCATGCCACAATCCCTTCCCCATTCTCCTTTTAGGATTTTGAGCATACAGGCACATGTGCCCAGTGTGTTTCTGAAGTCACCAGGTCCGGGACTTGAACCACCAGTCAGCCATGTGGGATCTAGCCACCTTAACCACCATGCCACAAGCTTACCCACCAGATTTTTTAAATATTCTATAATATGAGAGGTCTTTTAAAAGTTCATGGAAAATGTGTATTATAAAAATTATGGATGGATCTCAAAAATCTTTTTGCACCAAAATAAACCTGACCATGAATCCCACTTTCCCATGAACTTTTTTGATGTCTTGTAGTTAGCAAACACTTAAAATTAAATATTTTACATTAAAAAACTGGGGGACCAGTTGGCATATTGGCTATGTCACGCTGGACTCCCATGTAGTCAATCGTGGTTCGAGTTCCAGACCCAGTGGCTTAAACTCATGCTGGGTGTGTGTGCGTGTGTGCCCAAGATC